GACTGCGTCCTGCGTCCTGCATACACTGACTGCGTCCTGCGACCTGCATACACTGACTGCGTCCTGCGACCTGCATACACTGACTGCGTCCTGCGTCCTGCATACACTGACTGCGTCCTGCGTCCTGCATACACTGACTGCGTCCTGCGTCCTGCATACACTGACTGCGTCCGGCGACCTGCATACACTGACTGCGTCCTGCATACACTGACTGCGTCCTGCATACACTGACTGCGTCCTGCGACCTGCATACACTGACTGCATCCTGCGACCTGCATACACTGACTGCGTCCTGCGACCTCCATACACTGACTGCGTCCTGCGTCCAGCATACACTGACTGCGTCCTGCGACCTGCATACACTGACTGCGTCCTGCGTCCTGCATACACTGACTGCGTCCTGCGACCTGCATACACTGACTGCGTCCTGCGTCCTGCATACACTGACTGCGTCCTGCGTCCTGCATACACTGACTGCGTCCTGCGTCCTGCATTCACTGACTGCGTCCTGCGTCCTGCATACACTGACTGCGTCCTCCGACCTGCATACACTGACTGCGTCCTGCGTCCTGCATACACTGACTGCGTCCTGCGTCCTGCATACACTGACTGCGTCCTGCGTCCTGCATACACTGACTGCGTCCTCCGACCTGCATACACTGACTGCGTCCTGCGTCCTGCATACACTGACGAGTTAGTAGTCAGTAAGCTCACATCTCCCAGCATCTGGCGTCCACGGGATCTGGAGACGAACATAATGATGGGTGTGGGTGACACAACTGCTTGAAAACCATGTTGAATGATGGCTGGTTCGCCGTAGAACTTTCCAGCCGTCCTGGCGGCCTTGGCTAATTTCGTAATGTTCTTCATATCGCACATATTAACAGCAATTCCTTCGATGCTAACTAACTAATCTCTCAGACTGTCATCCACGGGAAGTTCACCCAGTGGGGTGAAAATTTATTTTGACTATCGGGCGGCTTCATGAATGGTGGTAGATTTTAATAGTCTAACTCTATATATAATGCAAAAAGTGTAATTTGTATATTTACTAATATGTTTGGTCTCCAAATGGCGAATTAAGTGTTTTTTGGTTACCATTACCACACTCTCGTGGGCAAGCTTAACACTCTGGCATTGTATGCTCACCTTCCTTACAACATTCTTTTGAAGACCATCTTATGCTAAATCTTCTACATTCTGCTCCAAACTTCCTGTCCCGTTGTTGTTCGAAGATCTCTTTCTCGGTGTGTGTGTGTGTGTGTGTGTGTGTGTGTGTTCTCTATCACTGACTGTTAGTAGCATCCAGTTTACCTTTGCCTTGAGTTCTCAGGTATGTTGACCATATATTTTCGAACCCCACATCGACTGTACCCAATTACAGCCATGAAGTTTCCACATTTACTCGGCACTTCCAGTGAGTGTCCCAACTGTCCGAAACTCCCGTTTGCCAACATCTTATCAAAAGCAATGCTTCTGACGCGCATATCCCAAGTTTCGTCAACATTCCAACTACTGCTTGAAGAACATTGCTTTGATCTCTCACTGAGAGCAATCAGCGAAAGGACGAGAGAGAGAGAAAGAGAGAGAGAACTTCTTGCATTCATCGCCTGATTAACAAGTCAGAGAAAAAGTTGGAACTCCGAGCTCTTGCAAGACAGAAAATGATTTAGACATTTCGTCCCTGTTGATGAGTGTTTGAGTCGATATTATTGCGTGAGAAAATTAGGATCGTCTTACCCGCTACGAGGGTAAGGTGGAGACAACGACCTCCACCTTACGAGGTAGAGACAAAAGTAATGTATGATATGACCCATAAGGCTGCAAGTTTTTTGGCTGCCTTGCTTGCTAGTTATGCCCGTTTATTTCATGGTCATTGAAGAGTCCAACGTCGCCGCTAATATGTCAACATCACCACTATACACTGAGGTTTAGTGACTCATTTGTACAATTGTTCGATCAGCAATCTCGTGTTGTTCTATTACCTGCCGTCGTCTTCCCTTCCCATGGTAGCTATTGCTGAACGTTGTTATTAAAAACCTTTCTATCAGTTTCTATTTCTTTTCTATATGTAAAGGTTAGAGTTCAGACATCGGCATAGGCCTGAGCTTCAGGAATGAGGTGCAGTAGATCGTTGGAAACAGACTGCAACAAAGGAGAAAGCATACTACCCTTATGGTACGCTGCTAATACTTGAATGGCCTTCAATTTCTGCAGCATTGAGGACTATTCTTAGAGTCTGTTCTTCAATGTAGTCCTTTATTGGACTGTATAATGGAACCTTAGATTCCTAGTACTTGCCTACTATCAAATACTAGGTATTACTTAGTACCGAGATTTTGAGTTTTGAATGTTTGAAGTTTTGCTAGTACACCAAAGTGTCAGACCTGATCAAACGCCCCCTCAAAGGTCCAGAGCAAGGACACAGGTATTTTTGGACTCGCCCGGAGACTGAGGTCACTTAGTAGAGAGATTTGGCAAGAGATCATGAGCGGCCCGGCCTTTTCTAGAACAATATTGTCGTCCACATAGTAACCCTTGACGGTCAAAACATTGAAATTAGCTGAGAGATTAATGACTCGGAGACTTGGCCAGTAACTGTAAGCAATGAAGCTCGTCTACAGTTACCGATAAGTGAAGTACTTTTCATTTTGTGTACTGAAAATACATTTGCTCTCTCTCTCTCTCTCTCTCTCTCTCTCTCTCTCTCTCTCTCTCTCTCTCTCTCTCTCTCTCTCTCTCTCTCTCTCTCTCTCTCTCTCTCTCTCTCTCACTCTCTCTCTCACTCACTCTCTCTCTCTCTCTCTCTCTCTCTCTCTCTCCTCTCTCTCTCTCTCTCTCTCTCTCTCTCACTCTCTCTCTCTCTCACTCTCTCTCTCTCTCTCTCTCTCTCTCTCTCTCTCTCTCTCTCTCTCTCTCGGCTCTCTCTCTCTCTCTCTCTCTCTCTCTCTCTCTCTCTCTCTCTCTCTCTCTTCTATCTATTACCTCCCACAATAAACCACCACCTACTCCTCCCGTATTCCTACACCTTGCCTCTCCCACGCTACATTCACCAAACCAAGCATTTTGTCGCGTTTTCCCACACCTGGTATAAGAATAAAGTTCAACAATGCCTCGTGCTACCTTGAACAGCCAGGCCTACCCTGAACAGCCAGTCCTACCCTGAACAGCCAGGCCTACCCTGAACAGCCAGTCCTACCCTGAACAGCCAGTCCTACCCTGAACAGCCAGGTCGTCAGCAGTGGTTGCTCCGGTGTATGCCTTGTCCTCGTTAGTCTTCGCTTTACTAATGCAAAAAGTTAGTTTTCCATGGCAAAGAATTTAACAAGTTCTTTCTTTAATTGCATCTTGTATACTCTACAATATTAATAACTCAGGCTTTATCTGCTATATGAGAAAATAACTGAGCACTGTTTGGCATCTATAATCCAATAGATATTTACTACCAGTGCAAACGAAGTGGGACGTTCCAGCCTCCCTGTCCTCAGGCTAGGCTCGTTCAAGCAGCGGCCTAGTCCATAAACGTATTTGTCAATTATTATTGCGTATTCAGTTGTCGTTTCCTCATATATAAGGAAATATTCAACCCGTCCTCGACTCAAGTCCATTACGTCCAGCGGTCGACCCCACAGACGCATTCATAACTTTTAATATGCTGTTCATTCAAAACGAGAATTTTCTCAAGTATAAATTAATATTATAATATATTAGCATATTGTGCATATATAGGCATAGGATAGGTTAGGTTAGGTGTTTAGGTTCTGTTGGCGATTATTTGTATTTGTAGTACGTGGGTGAAGCGTTTATAGCGTTGTGATTCGAACAAAATTCGTCAGTGAAACACTTGTTCCGGATATGTTCGAACGTCAGCAGTTGTGAGTCGTGTGTAAACCGCTTTTCATTCATAAACAGGGGGTTTGGCGGGTGCATGGAATCACTTTTGGATCTTTGTTTGGAGGACGGGCTGAAATATTATGAGAAAATCAGCCGGAACGGATTCGAACCCGCTCACTTGGTGCTCCCAGACAAACGCCCTAGACCACTACACCACGACATGGTAAGAGCAATGCAACCTGGGATTCCACTGAACCCTCTAGGGGTCCTGAGGCTTCCAATTGAAACAAAATCAGGGTTTTACACCCTGCCCCCCCCCCGTGCCAACCTGTCCTCTTAAAAATTACGTCTGAATTTGGTCGTTTACCCGTATGCACGAAAATGGACGTAATTTGGAACTGAAAAAAATTGGAAATAAACTTTGGACTTTGTTTTCCAAAACAGTAGGTTAAGGGTCCTCTGGTAGGTTAGGAGGGCAGAAAATCCTCCTAAGGTTTCAAAACGTCATGAAAAACGTTAATTGAAAGTTTCCTCTCCTAACCTTTCCGATTAAGCCGCGGAGGGCTCAAACAGAAAACGGGACAGCACGTCACTTTCGTGAGCCGATTTCATTTCCAATTACGTTCATTTTTGGCCATAATGCGTATACGAACGAAAAACGACGTTTTTCTCCTATTGATTTTCACAATAATACATGAAAGTGAAGGAAAGACCCCATATATATATGTAATTTTCGGATGTAACCTGCGTCCTTTCTCATTGTACTGTATACAATGTTCTGCCCACTATATACATCGAGAACACTGTGTAAATTACCTTGAGAAAGGATGTAGGTTACATCTGAAAATGTGGTTTTTAATACACTTACACATATATTACCTCAATTCACCTTGAGTTATTTATTCTTATGTTTTAAAGAATGTGGTGAAACAAGCAGCCTCCTTCAGGGTGAAAGCTTAAGACATACCAATTGGTTATAAACTCAGTAAATAGACATGGATAATGTTGTCAATTTGATGGATAAGTTTATATCAAATATTATTAGATTTGGTTTAAATTTATTGTCTTGCTCACAATCTCTCCGTCTCCGCCGGAACAATGTTTCTCTGGCGTGACTTGAAGGCTTGATGGTGCCTCATGACCAAGGGGGCAGTTCTCTCTGGTTTATGGAGCCCGTCTGCTGCTGGGAAGTGAGAACACACCCAGATGTTTCCACTACCGTGGGGACCCCTGCTAGAGATGGCCCAGCTGTTACTACCGTGGGGACCCCTGTCAGAGATGGCCCAGCTGTTACTACCGTGTGGACCCCTGCTAGAGATGGCCCAGCTGTTACTACCGTGGGGACCCCTGCCAGAGATGGCCCAGCTGTCACTACCGTGGGGACCCCTGCCAGAGATGGCCCAGCTGTTACTACCGTGGGGACCCCTGCCAGAGATGGCCCAGCTGTTACTACCGTGGGGACCCCTGCTAGAGATGGCCCAGCTGTTACTACCGTGGGGACCCCTGTCAGAGATGGCCCAGCTGTTACTACCGTGTGGACCCCTGCTAGAGATGGCCCAGCTGTTACTACCGTGGGGACCCCTGCTAGAGATGGCCCAGCTGTTACTACCGTGGGGACCCCTGTCAGAGATGGCCCAGCTGTTACTACCGTGTGGACCCCTGCTAGAGATGGCCCAGCTGTTACTACCGTGGGGACCCCTGCTAGAGATGGCCCAGCTGTCACTACCGTGGGGACCCCTGCTAGAGATGACCCAGCTGTCACTACCGTGGGGACCCCTGCCAGAGATGGCCCAGCTGTTACTACCGTGGGGACCCCTGTCAGAGATGGCCCAGCTGTTACTACCGTGTGGACCGCTGCTAGAGATGGCCCAGCTGTTACTACCGTGTGGACCCCTGCTAGAGATGGCCCAGCTGTTACTACCGTGGGGACCCCTGTCAGAGATGGCCCAGCTGTCACTACCGTGGGGACCCCTGCCAGAGATGGCCCAGCTGTTACTACCGTGGGGACCCCTGCCAGAGATGGCCCAGCTGTCGCTACCGTGGGGACCCCTGTCAGAGATGGCCCAGCTGTCACTACCGTGGGGACCCCTGTCAGAGATGGCCCAGCTGTTACTACCATGGGGACCCCTGTCAGAGATGGCCCAGCTGTTACTACCGTGTGGACCCCTGCCAGAGATGGCCCAGCTGTCACTACCGTGGGGACCCCTGCTAGAGATGGTCCAGCTGTCACTACCGTGGGGACCCCTGTCAGAGATGGCCCAGCTGTCACTACCGTGGGGACCCCTGCCAGAGATGGCCCAGCTGTTACTACCGTGGGGACCCCTGTCAGAGATGGCCCAGCTGTTACTACCGTGTGGACCCCTGCTAGAGATGGCCCAGCTGTTACTACCGTGGGGACCCCTGCTAGAGATGGCCCAGCTGTCACTACCGTGGGGACCCCTGTCAGAGATGGCCCAGCTGTCACTACCGTGGGGACCCCTGTCAGAGATGGCCCAGCTGTTACTACCGTGTGGACCCCTGCCAGAGATGGCCCAGCTGTTACTACCGTGGGGACCCCTGCTAGAGATGGCCCAGCTGTCACTACCGTGGGGACCCCTGCCAGAGATGGCCCAGCTGTTACTACCGTAGGACCCCTGCCAGAGATGGCCCAGCTGTCACTACCAGGGGGGGGGGGGACACCGCTCCATTGACTGTGAATAAATTGAATAAACTTACCAATATCACCGACATTATGAAGCTGAAGGAAAGACCCAGTACATGTACTCACCTAATTCTGCTTGCGGGGGTTGAGCTCTGGCTCTTTCGTCCCGCCTCTCAACCGTCAATCAACTGATGTACAGATTTCTGAGCCTACTGGGCTCTGCCATATCTACATTTGAAATTTTGTGTGGAGTCAGGCTGGAGTCAACATGTGTAAGTATATTAAAACTGTTGTTTTCAGTACCTTGACAAAGGGTGTAGGTTGCATCTGAAAATCTGGTTTTAATGCACATTCACTAATATTGAGTCTTTTCTTCACTTTCATTCAGCGCTACGGCAATGTAGTTATTTTTTACATCGATATTATTCGAAGCTTAAATTCTGAATACAAATTTTCAACCATACAAGACTGAAAACTCGCAATAACGAAGAAAACGGGACAAAATATGTCAACTCATAACATATAAATTATTAAAAGTCCATTGTTGCGTATTACTTGGTGTTGGGCTCAATTCCAAACAAGGCATGGAAGGTTATGAAGACAACAACAACACCTCACCCACCAACCAGCAAGTATACTTTAGTCCTGGTCTGTGTTCAGGTCTACACCAAACTCTTAGTATATTATACACTCCGAGAAGTGGGTTACACCTCTCGCTATATATTACTCATGTGAAGTATAGCAGCATTGAGTAACTTATAAACGAAGGTTATCACAAAAATGGACTTAGGAGTTACCAAAATATGCAATATAATAACGGAAAAGCCATCTAGGAGACAAAATAATGCTATCTACATTGCAGCATTTTAAAATAAAATTTTACTTAATTTCTTGTTTAAATTTAACAGAGAAAAATTGATTAAATCAAGGGAAAGTTTATATCAGATAGCTCATCCATATGTTTAAGTAGCAATATGGGAGGTGGACGGAGATAAAAAATATATATATTAGGAAACAAATGGTTGAGGACGTGAGCAGGTGGCAGGTTTTCCCTGACCGCGCGCGTCATCCATCACCACCAAGAAAAGCGCGCCAAAGGCTTTCTGATGGGCGGGTGTCGTGTCCGAGGACGATGACACCCGCCACAAAATCACTTTCCTTATTCCCGCGCTTTGCCTTGCTTCCTCCCTGCTGTCTTGGTACGGTTTCGTACTTCATTCTCTTTCTCCTCGCATAAAGGTAAGAACGGCAGGTGGGAAAACTAATGAAGCAGGTGAAAAGATAATGAAAGAAAATGGATAAAAAAAAGCTTGGCTTGGTGATAATGATATGCAGATGTACGATATATTTTTTTTGAGCCAAAAGCAGAGTATGCTCACGAAGCGAAGCGGGACTACGACCAATAGTTATCTGATCAAGTAGAAGAAAATGTTACATCCTGATTTTATAGATTTATGTATACTTTGTTTATCTTAAAAATATCAATTGAAGCAGGATTAAACAAACTTTGATATTTTCGAACACAAAAGGCCAATTGGTGATTATATTGTTTTTTTTTGCTGTGGGAACAAATGTCTACTAAATTGGTTAGACATTTTAATTGGTTGAATAGGCTATTCAACAAATTGTTGAATAGGCTATTCAACAAATTGTTGAATAGGCTATTCAACAAATTGTTGAATAGGCTATTCAACGAACTTGTGAGGCTATCCTCACGAGGATAGCCTCACGAACACGGAGATGAATAAATTGATTGCAAAATAGCCAAAACAAAATAAAAAAGAGAGTAAATCAGGGCCCTGGAGACGACTTTATTAGACGAGAAGTCTGAGCCCCGTGTGTGTGTATTGTGGTACTGCCATGCTGTTTAGCGCCTAAGACCAGACACTCCCACTACCATTTACGACCAAAAGGATGTTTTTGTCCTTGGCTGGGAAGAGCTGTTTAAAAATGTACGAAGATATATTGTGGTAGTTTTTTGGAGAAACTGGAAAACACGATATTTTATGGATAAAAAAGCAGTGTTGTTATATGAAGAAAAATAATAAGAGGAGTGTTTTATAAGAAAACCCCCAAGCCTCGTATATAGGGAAAGCGGTGAAAAACGGTGAAATATATGATGGCAAAAAATCTGTTATTTTGCGGAGAAAAATAACACGACTGTTTTATAGAAGAATTTAAATGTGTTGTTTTATAGAAAAAAAACTCTTGTTTTATGGGGTCAAAGATAAAACTGAACAGCGTTACTGTAATATGTAAAAAGAAAATGGAAAAATATTTTGTGGAGAGAAACGAAAAGGATCAGAATAAACAGTAGAAAGTGGTGAAACCGCAAATAGAAACGAGTGTTTTAGGCGTAAAATTGAACTAGAAAACTCGTTTTCAACAAAGTAACTATGACAAAGGTATGGCCACATAAGGCCTCACACAAGCACACTCCCAAGATATTATAGATATATAATTTAAAGTAATGATTGTTAATTATCGACGTGTGGCAATTGGACCAGTTGGAACACACGAGGTGCATGTGTAATCTTTGGCCACACTCTCCATGTATGGCCACACTCTCCATGTATGGCCACACTCTCCATGTATGGCCACACTCTCCATGTATGGCCACACTCTCCATGTATGGCCACACTCTCCATGTATGGCCACACACTCCATGTATGGCCTCACTCTCCATGTATGGCCACACTCTCCTAGTATGCCCACACTCTCCATGTATGGCCACACTCTCCATGTATGGCCACACTCTCCATGTATGGCCACACTCTCCATGTATGGCCACACTCTCCATGTATGGCCACACTCTCCATGTATGGCCACACTCTCCATGTATGGCCACACTCTCCATGTATGGCCACACTCTCCATGTATGGCCACACTCTCCATGTATGGCCACACTCTCCATGTATGGCCACACTCTCCATGTATGGCCACACTCTCCATGTATGGTCACACTCTCCATGTATGGCCACACTCTCCATGTATGGCCACACTCTCCATGTATGGCCACACTCTCCATGTATGGCCTCACACTCCATGTATGGCCACACTCTCCATGTATGGCCACACACCATGTATGGCCACACTCTCCATGTATGGCCACACTCTCCATGTATGGCCACACTCTCCATGTATGGCCACACTCTCCATGTATGGCCACACTCTCCATGTATGGCCACACTCTCCATGTATGGCCATATACTCGCTGTATGACAATACTCTCGATGTTCGGCCTCAAACTCGATAAAAGGCCACACACACACACACTCGATGTATGCCAATACTCTAGATTATAGATGTATAGCCACACACTCGGTGTATAGCCAGGCACTAGAGGTATGGCCATACACACTATTGATGTATGGCCACACATACTCGTTGTATCCCCCCCCCCCCCCACACTCTGAGAAATGTGAACACAACCAAGGTATTAAAATGCGGCTAGCGATATCCGTAGAGTTTCAACACAATATTTATGTGATAAATCTCCTGTATGGAGAGCTGAGGCAGGGAAAGCGTCCAGTAGGCAAGCCCCAGCTACGGTACAAAGACGTATGCAAAAGGGACCTGAAAGCCATGGACGTCGATCTTGCTATATGGGAGACACTGGCTACAGACCGTTCAGCCTGGAGGCAGTCTGTTCAACGAGGTCTCTCCAAGTTCGAGGAGTCACTTGCCAAGGAATCGGAGGCAAAGAGACAGAGAAGGAAAGCCGGTAACCAGGAAGACAGACCAGAATCGGACTTCGTTTGTGCTCGGTGTGGGATGGACTGCCACTCTCGGATTGGCCTCATCAGTCACACCAGACGCTGCACCAGGATTGACAACTAGGGCGCAACTCCATAGTCTCCCGAGACTGAAGGATGCCTACTACTACCTCATTTCTTAATTAAAAAAAAAAATCTAGACAATAACCAGTAATCATGTAAATTATTCTACATGATGTTTGCTAGATCTGTAGTTGATTGTCATGCCTTGCACCTAATTAACTTCACCCCCCCCCCCCCGCCCCCGCTCTCTGTTCTGAATAACCTAGAAGTAGTACAGAATGAAGCTATGAGCGTAATTCTTGGTGCCCCAAGATGCACAAGAATCAACATAAAGGAAGAACTGAAGATTCCAATCATACTAGAGAGAATCATGCAAGTCAACACGACCTTTTGCTTCAGTCATGAGAGATCCAACATCTCCTGCATTGCTCAGAGACTAATTATTCTGTGCTGGTAACACCCTATTGACTGGTTACAACATTCCAACTCACTTCTTATGTGATAAATGGCTGAGTAAAAATGCCTACAATGTCATCCAGCTGAACATTCCTTTTAAGTGTAATCTACCTGTCACTGATATTCCTCTTTATCTGAACCCCATCATTCACGAATCATAGACCCCCGTCACCAAAAAAGGTAATGAGACTCTTTCTCTTCTCAAAGATGTCACACTTGAAACTATTGCCTCTTTCTTCAAATATCTCAGATCTCGCGAGCACTGTGTCTACACCGACGACTCACTCCAATCGTCTACTGGACGGACAGCAGCAGCATGTAAGTCTTAGAGAAGTAATATTTGTACAGAATCACTGTTAAGTTAAACAACTGTTTGACCTCTACACAAGCAGAACTAGCAGCACTATAGCTACCCGTACATTAAAAAATACAGGAAGAGGAATAATATTTTGTGATTCAAGGTCTGCTTTTCAAGCAATTAAAAACTTTTCCTGCAAGATCGACAGCAAGAACTTCATATTAGTAATTATAAATGATTTGATCACTGCACAGAGTAAAGGTTAAGAATCTCCTGTGTATGATATTATCTTACATAAATATAACCAATCATAATAAAACAGACATTGCAGCCAAATCAGCGTGTAATAAAGATGGAGTTGAATTAGACTAAGGTATCCTCATCTCTGTTCTCAACACTATATTGTTCCGAACAGTGAAATGCAATAGGAGAGAAATTAGACTCCAGTGGCCTGAAAGCAACAGTATAAAAAGCTATGATTTCTTCAGATCCGAAACCAATGTGTATGGGCAGCACAAAACGTCCATCAGAAAGTGCGACACAATAGTTGTCAGAATCAGGTTGGGTTACAGTTACCTGTGGCTGGTGGCTACAGGTGACGGATCTCCCAGTCCTGAACACTCCAGGTGCAAACTCTGTGTGCGGGAACTGGGGAATGACCTTGCACACTACATCACTGAATGTCCAGTTTTTAGACCAATCAGACCCGTTGGCATGAGGTACCTGGAGCTTTGCAATCACTTTATTCACTCTCGTGTTCTTGAGGATTTCCTCATAATGCACCCAGTGCAGGGTACTGATCACATGGCCCTGTATGACTAGCCATCTTGAGTGATGGGTATTTTTAGCATCACGTGGCTATTTTGTTTTTTGATTCACTCTGTACTGCCCCTTCATATAGTCTAGGTCAACTGCAGATGTACCTAAATGTGTTTATAAACAAATGAACTGGTTCCTGAGTCTCACTATAAGTGCATTTGTCACTACACAAACATCCACACAGTGAATGTTTCTACTAGCAGTACCCTCCTGAGCACATTACAGCTCCCTTGCTCAAGTATTCACACTGTAGTAAAACTCAAGTGTCAATTCGGAAACTAAAGCCATCAGCCAATATCGTAAGCCTGGACATGTTAGGCGCCACGACGCAGTAAAACAGGCTTCTTGTCTCTCTTGGGCATTTTCTACGATCACGATCGAACGAACCCTCTCTTTTTTCCTCCTGGGAGTATTAGAGCTGGACACTACGAAGTCACATACTGGCCTCCATCCCTACCAGGAACTCCTAACCTCGAAGCTTACAACAGAAACCCAACTCCACGTTGGAGATTCTGGCTAGCGACCATTCTGCTCTAATTTCTGGTTCCAGTGTATTTTTCTGACGCTTAGC